GAATGGGACGATTGTAAGCAGTAGGGATGGTAATAATACACCCGAAACGGAGAGAGGAATGGGAGGGAAATAAACAGACACAGAAGAGAGAAAATGCAGAGAGGAATTTGGAGAGCGTCGAATGACAATATATGGGAGGGAGACACAGCAATAGAGGTAAAACCGTAGAGGAGGGAAGATAATAATGTATGCTGTGTATGGTAATGCCCGTGTATCTGGACTGTTACTTACGGCTGGAAATACACGGTGGATGGAAATAATGCAGGTCGCACCACCGATGCAGCACAATTACTAGTATTTACTAGTAGTAGAAGGAGCGATCATGCTATTATGATCTATCCAGGAAAGGATTCATCAGATTCATATATGGGTTGCCTTTAATCGACTGAATTCAACGTCAGAGCACCGCTGAACTATGATCTCCGTAGCAGTATGGATACAACAACGTAGGAGTACGATTCTGGATACTATTCCTTTCAAGTTGGCCTGTGAATGGCCAGTTTACTCCGGCATCATCATCCATGAATTCATCGCATCCATGTCTCGTGTCGAGTGGAGAGGCGGTTGAGTTGTAGTCTGTCCCCGGCTCTATATGGCATCTCTTCTCCGATCTTATCAACACCACGATAACCGATGAGTTTTAGCACTTCTACGAATGCCCAGAAAGATTCAATTTGATTGCATTGTACTTTTGATCCCATCCCGGCAAGCATCCAGAACAGAAAAACCATCCCGGACAGTACATATAGCTATCCGAATCCCCTGTCTGTCTCGACTCCTCCCGGGGACTTCTGTAACCCGGCAATCGTTCTCATCCTGAATTATTATTCGCCATGGCTGTCCACCATAGACCAGAAAATCAGATACAAACAGACAGGGATATAGACTCTGGCCCGTGGTGATGATGTTGATGTACGCCATCTCTGGACGTCTGGACATTGTTCCGACCACAGAATCGGAAGGCCGTCACGCCACGCCAATTGACCATGGCCATTATGCTCTGTCACCAACCCATGGGTCCTCCCTCCAGGCTTAGTCCAATACCAGAGAAATTGTGCTCACTTGACCTGTCGTCTTGTCTAGAGCCGTTCCATAGTTTTTCTGTTGTCGTCATCTCAGTGGTTGTACGTTGTTCTGTACAGAACGGCACTGCGACAACAAGCTATTACCCGAATCGGCCGGGCACATACAACGTACAGAGACCATCTGCACAATGACCCTCACGCTTTTGCCGATTGGTAAGCGATTGTCGCTCTCCTTGCCGGCTGCAATGTTGTCTCACTTGTGTCATTCTTTTGACCGTTATGTGTTATCCGAACATCATTTAAAACACGTTTCATGCTCCTCGAGATTCCAAGGGAATTCCATTCATCATCGTTCTATTCTCCCTCCTGACCCAAATAATGGGAGTGAAGGAGGTACGCATCTTCCGTTCCTCTGCGGGGTCGAACACGTCGGTGGGGAGTTTAACCCGTAGCCGATAACGCTTAACCTCATCTGGTTAGTGTATGTCTCTTTTCGTCGTCCTCTCTGAAAGCGCTGGACTGTACTCTGTACAGACAGAGTCACAGTGCAGACTCCAGCATACTGGTTTATGCACAGAGAACGACATCGATACAGACCTCCTCACTCTATTCACGAATCACTGAACGAATATCATGGGTGGTGGGTCGGATCATCGCGGACACACGTCCGATCCAGTCACTGTCTTTTACGTCGTCCAAGAACGAATTTACTACTCCGTACTAAGTCCGGAAGAAAAGACGGAATTGGACTCACAGCAGAATGATAAGACTCAATTCCTTGGTCTGTGAGATGATCACCTTCCCCAGGTTTCATGGTCTTCTTCCCCATGCGGAGTTCTCCTACCCAACGCCACCAATACGGTCATTGGAACGGTCTCCCGCTTAACTCTAAATCAGACTACGTTGTATGGCCTGAACGAAGACTGGAACGTCTGGGGACGGGTTTTTTAGATTCCCCCGCATCGAGTCAAGATTCGTCAATCGTTCACCTTCGGGGTGACATTGATCGACTGGGATGCGGAGGATGATGATGGTACGTAGAACATGGGTTGGCTGCTATTGGTAGGTCTACGGGGTGAGCACGCCTGTACCAGAAGGGTCGGAGCCATTGTTTTGAGTATTCCATAAAAGGGGGGTATGCAGTCCCCTTCGCAGCGGCACAATTACGCACCAGAGCCATGTGTTGAGACTGTATTCAACTGTCACTTCATCCAGCAGCGCATACATCACTATTATAGAAGCCAGTGTTGTTACACCAGCCCTTGACTTGATGCTGCTTGACTACCAAAAACTAAGCATGATGTTACCCCGTAGCCAGCAATGCACATCACGGAAACTCACCTCGTCATCGACACAACATCTACAAACCCCCCTCTCACAATTATGGAAGGCAAGGCCGCACATTTCCGCGACACATACCTGGAACCCCAAACTTCCAAAATTCAAGAATCAATTACCCCGTACTTTAGTGGGAGAGGCTCTGCACGAATTTCTCCGCCTAGTCTCGCTAAGCCTGCACGAGGCCACTTAGTACACGCTAGCCCCATAGAATATATTGCTATCCCGTGTACATCTCGACGATGCTCCAATGAGGGCCTCGGTTCGACCGCGGAATTAGAACCCTGTTTCATCAAGGGAGGGGTTGGAGTTGATTTTGTCGCACAAGTGTAGAGCGAGGTATATATATATATATATAGTCGGATGGGTCTCTGAATCCAATTGTCAAGGAACAGAAGAGAGCGAGAAAGCAGCAATACAATGGATCTATCCAGTGAACTTGAGTACTACGACTATATTATCTGCGGGTGAGCATGTCCAATTCCACGTACGGTGTTTCCAACTGATCTTCCCCAGAGGAGGAACATCAGGCTGCGTCGTGGCCGGCCGACTAGCAGAAAACCCCAACGTAAAGGTCCTCCTCATCGAAGCTGGACAACACAATAAAGATCTCGAAAATGTCCACATGGTTGGCGGGTTAGTCTTCTTTCCCCTCCCTTTGACGATGGCTTTCTCTGCTAAAGTGAATCCACAGCTGGTCAAACAACTTCGACTCCGAAACAGACTGGAACGTGGTTACACCCCCGATGAAAGGCGTCGACAACCGCCAGGTCAAGCTCAGCAGAGGCAAGTTCCTAGGCGGGTGTAGCGGGTGCAATGGCACGCTTTGCATCCGGGGGAGCAAGCAGGATTTCGACGATTGGGAGTTGGAGGGGTGGAGTGGGGAGGAGTTCTTTAGTTATATGAGAAAGGTACCCCTCCTTGCCATAACCTAAGAGTTCAATTGTTTACAACGTGTGCCGTGAAGACAGAAACCTTCCACCCAAAACCCTGGTTCGACGCCAACGAACAAGCCCACGGCTACGACGGCCCCCTCCACACCGAACCGCACGATCTCGCACCTATCTCGCAGCTCATCATGTCCTCCTTCGTCTCTGAAGGATTGCCGCATGTCCCAGATATGTTCTCGACAGGCGAGACACCGCATGGATGCGGACACGCCCCGCGGTCAGTGTATAATGGTCTACGAACGACGAGCGCCGATTTCGTTACGAATGGGTTCACTCGCAAGAACATGACTGTCGTGACGGGGAGTACGGTGGACCATGTGATCGTTGAGCCGGATACGCAGACGGGTGAGCTAATTTCTCGGGGTGTATTGGTGCAGGATACGCTTAACGGTGGAGTGAGGGCATACCATGCGAAGAGGGAGGTTGTTATCTGCGGAGGCGCATACTGCAGCCCTGCTATCCTCCTGCGCTCTGGGATCGGACCAAAACCTGAACTGCAGAAACACGACATTCCATGCTTGATAGACTCACCAGGAGTTGGTCAGAATCTCATGGATCATCCTGTACTCCTCCCACCATCTCCTTCTTTCCCACCCAAATGCTAATAACAGGGCTAGATCGTATTCATATTCTACGAAACCGCGCATCCAAACCTAACAACCGACCACCTCGTCTACCACAACAACGCCTTCGAAACCACCTACAACCTCTGGAAAACGAACAAATCAGGCTTCCTCTCCACCTTCCCCTTCGGCGCCTTCGCTTACGCCCGTCTCGATGACCGTCTTGCCAACGAGCCGCTCTGGCAAAAGTACCAAAACCAAAACACCCTTATAGACAAACGGGTTGGAAATGAGAAACGCGATCCTATGTCCCTCCTCCCCTCCAAACAACCAAATATCGAACTCTTCACGACAGAATGCTACGGTGGACCGAAGCAATATGATAACTTCCCTGCTTCTCCGAATCACAACGCGCACGTCTTTTCTATCATAGCGGAGCTATTCTCGCCGCATTCCCGGGGTAGCGTTACTCTTTCGTCGAAAGATGGACGGGAGAATCCCATCGTTGATTGTAACTATCTGGACCATCCGCTGGATATGCTGGTTCTGTCTGAGGGCGTGAGGTTTGCGAATGAGATTGTTATGAATGGGGCTGGGACGAAGGGGATTGTTAAGGGGTCTTGGCCGGAGGGGTTGGGGTATGGGACGCCTGGGAAGGAGAGGTTTAGGACGAGGGAGGATTGGGTGCCGTATGTTAAGGAGCATGCTACTACTTGTGAGTTTTCTTTTATTCCAGGTCTGTCTAAGAGGAGTATGCTGATGGATCTAGGCTACCACGCTGCGGGAACTTGCGCTATGGGGAATGATGATAATCCTATGGCGGTGCTGGATAATAAGCTGCGCGTGCGTGGGGTTGCGAATCTGCGTGTGGCAGACTGCAGTATCATGCCTACTCTCCACGGAGGACACACGCAGATGCCTGCGTACGGCATTGGCGAGAAGTGCGCAGACTTGATCAAGGAAACTTGGTCGACGGACAATGTGAGCCAAAGCTTGCGTGCTGTGTTATAGTCTGTTGTATAGTCTGGACTAAGACTCATGTTATTCGCGATCTCATTCTGGTATGGTACATAGCAAGCAAATACATCTTAGTGTATATATATCATAGCTCTAACATAAATCAACTAAACCTCACATTTAGGCGATACAATATCCGACGCAATCTTTTCTGCAAGCATATCTATACTGGTTAGTAGGAATCATTCTTAAGACGAGGAAAAGACGTACAAACTGTCGACTGAGGATGCCCCGGAACCAAAATCGGAAACGAACTGGCATCTACCACTCTCAATCCTTCCACCCCATACACCCTAGCTTGACTATCAAGCACGGCCATACCGTCCTCACGAAGTCCCATTTTACACGTACACGCAGCATGGTATATAGTCATTACGGTGTTGCGAATGACATCCAAGATCTGCTCGTCAGTTGTGTGTTCCATGCCAGGGAAATACTCGTCTCCCACCACGATAGGCGCCATGGCCTCACTGTGAAAGGCGGCCCGAATCCGCTTATATGCAGCAACGGCTAGCTGCTGGTCTGTTTCTGTCGACAACCAGTTCAGGTTGATCTCCGGTAGGTCTTTTGTATCGGCAGATTTGATAGTGATATTTCCACTGGAGGTCGTTGCCAGAATACTGGCCAGAATTGTAGCGTACTGCGGGCCACCCTTTGGTTGCCCAAGGAAGGGCCTGGAAAAGTTGCCAACATACGCAGCTGCTGAGAGGTACTATCCGGGATGTTAGTTTCTTTCCTAGAGCAGATATCCCAGTTCATACCTCAATCTCAGGCCAATCATCCGGAAACCAATCGAGCTCCTCCTTCGTCTTCGAAGAGAAGTTAGACCGTAGCGCTTCGGGAACCTTCTCAAAGGCAATAAAATCGGTGACTGGGTTCGTGAGCATCCCGGTGCGAGCGGTGATGTACTTCATCAGCTGTTCGGTCATAAACAAAGGATCCGCAGCCAGCTTGGTAAATGTTTCAAGAGCCACTTGGTACGTTGGACCAAAGAAGATATGATCCCGCAGGTTCTGACCAACTCCTGGGAGATTCGAAATGACATCGATACCGTGCGCCTGCAGGGTATCGGCCGGTCCGACACCGGAGACCATCAAGAGCTGTGGAGACTGAAATACGCCGGCTGAGAGAATAACTTCGTGTTTGGCGCGCAGTGTATAGGTCACCAATCCCGTCTTCACCCTCACGCCGGTTGCTCGTTTCGAAGAGTCAAACAGGATTTGCTTGGCCAGGGTACCGATGTATACTTTCAAGTCCCGTAAGCGTTGTGAAGAAGCCCTGTAGAAGAAGGCAGTTTTCGAACTACTTCTCGTCTGATCCAATGGCCGAATTGTTGAAGTCGAGTATTGGGAGCCGTTCAACGATCCGCTATTGAAGTCCGTCGTCTCGTGGATTCCAATCGCTTCGAGTCCCCGTTCCATCCAACTAGAAAACGACATAGCGTAGTCGGAATAAGACACATGAAGAGGCTCGCCATGCTCAGAAAAGGCGTCCATATTATACTGCGCCGTGGCATTGCAGGAGCGAAGGTTGACACTTGGAGGCGTAAACTCGACGGTCTTCGTGAAGAACGGAACCACACTATCGAAAGCGTAACTCTGGTCCTGGACGAGATCGGCCCAGAGCTGCATCGACTGCTTCGTCGGTCTGTTTATGTTAGTATCCGATAGCAGCGTCAAAGGCATAACCACATACCTCTGATAGATCATGAAGTTCAAAGCCGACCTAAGCATCATCAGCATTGCAATCACCCACATCAAAGAACAAGCATACGATCCCCCCAAACACTTCCCCCTCGGATAATGAACATCTCTCCCATTCGCCCCAGGAACATTATACGTCACGAAATTCCAATCAATCAAAGACGTCGACTTGGGATCCGATCCCACACCCAAGCTATCCGCCCCAGGTATCTTCGCAGTCCAAGACACGGTCTCGTAGATTCCTCCTGCTTCGACTAGAGCCACGCGGTGATTGTGTTCGGCCAGACGAGATGCAATCGTTATACCTGCGGTGCCGCCACCGACGACGATGTAGTCGAATTCGGCGTCGAGGTTGGGGACGGCGAGGAGTTCTTCGGGGAAAGGGTCGGACCAGGTGGGAGTGTCGGAGGGGCAGTTTGGCGGGATGGTGATGGCTGATGCTAGGGCTAGCAGGAGAAAGAGGTAGATTAGAAACATGGTGATGAAACGAGAGACGGTCAACGGATGAAGAGTATAGAATGGGATAGGGGGAATAGAGAATTGGAATGGTTGGAGGCATTCTAGAGATCACTGAGGATATTAATGGCAGCTACGAGGTCGTTCTTGCCATTGCGGCAAGCGCCACTGTTGTCGCAGTCGCATCGTTCGTTCCCAATTTGGCAGCGACGACGGTACTCTGCCTTTTCATTGTCGCGAGTATGGGCAGTGATAATCAAACACGAGTACAAACCGTTCGTTTGCACAATGCAAACAGTGGAAATAGACAGTACATATAAACCCACCACCATCTCTTCGACGCCGTAGCAACAACTTTTCCTCTTCATCCTCCAAGCAAGCACCTCTCTCTCTCTCTCTCTCTCTCTCTCTCTCTCTCTCCACTCAAACCATATTACCCATACTACACTCCCAACCACCAAAATGACCACCCACCCCTTCTTCTCCTCCTTCCCAGACTTCACCCCCAACCCAACCTTCTCCATAAGCAGCGACTTCCAACGCCTCGCCGCCCTCCGCAACTGGAAAACCAACTCCAAGCACCGGAAGAAAATGTGGAACAAGTGCATGAACCTCGAGTACGACAGATTGATTGGGAGCACGCTTTCTTCGCTGCAGAGCTGGCAGAGGCTTTGTGAGGAGGTTGGGCTTGGGGATGGGGTGAGGTTTGGGTCGATTAGGAAGTGTAAGATGGTCTGTTATCTGCTATTTTGTTTTGAATGAGGCTTAGGAGAGTACTGATGATAGTAGGCGCTGCAGAGTGTGTATGTGAATATTGTGGATTTGCTTGATGCGAGACGGACGGGGGAGAAAGTGAAGACGTTTACGAATATCGAAAAGTTGAGCCAATACACGAAGCAGAAGGGAATGATGTTTAACAGAAACCTGGCGAAGCAGGATAAGTTGCTCAGGGTTCTTTTGAGGGTTCTTATTTAGGGTCGCCAACCGTGTTGGGTCGCTTTGGATATTTGGATAGACATCTGGATATGAATCCTGTCAATAGCTTTTGTCGAATTATCAATTCATAATTAATAGATCAGCAATTAGTAGACTCTGATATTACCCGTATAATACATTATATACGCCATATTAGTCCAAGCAAGCAAATATCCCACGAAATCCATCACAGATCCTTCTTGCCAGAACCCTGCTGCTCATTCGCCAACACATATCCAACAGCCCGTTTCAAACCCTCATCAACCGGAACAATAGGACGATAACCCAAGCGCAGCTTGGCCTTATCAGAAGAGTAGTACCGCGTCATGCACGAATACCGAACCATCCGTCGGGTCAGACGCGGTGTCTTGCCAAACAGACCCAGGACGGTTTCCGCGAGACCACCAATAGGACCCAGCAATCCCTCAGGAAGCTCCCACACCTGATCCGGTTCGACATACTTTCCGGTCAATGCCCAGGCCGCGTGCGTCATGTCCCAGAAGTAGACCGGGGAGTCGTTGGTGATGTTGAACGCCTCGCCGTCGATGCGCTCGTGGTCCAGCGGTGCGCTCTGGCCGGCGTCGTACCGGTTCTTGGTGGCGCATAAGCGGTAGGCGGCCAGCAGGTGCGCGTATGCGATGTTGCCAACGTAGGTGAAATCGAACAGGTTGTTGTTCTCGCCCAGCTGCATCTTCAAAACGAACGGCGACGCCTTGGACGAGTGTTCCAGGATCTTGTAGGTGAACGAGGTGTCTTTCTCTCCGTAGATACCGGCGGGACGGAGGGCGCAGGTCAACATGGACGAGGGAGATGTCTGGTTGTACTTCAGGACGAGCTCTTCTGCGTCCGCCTATCATTTCATCAGCGTCGAGCGTCAATCACACGATAGAATGCGAAAACAAACCTTAGTCTCCGAGTAATACTCCAACTGCTGCGGCCCCCTAACATAAGGCCACTTCTCATCCACATTAATCAAGTCACTCTGCGTATCATGCACCACCGAGCTCGAGCTCGTGTACACAAACGCCTTGCACTTCCCACCCCACTCCCCATGCGCGCCACCCGCAACCTCCACCAACGTCTTCGTTCCGTCCACATTCACCTTCCGCAGCAACGGCTTGTTTCCCTCCAACATCGACGGCGAAGCGGTGTGGATGACCACGTCGGGCTTGACGGTGCGGAACACGGACAGCATCGACTCGACGGAGGTGATGTCGCCATCGTAGTACTGCGCACCGGGGAGACGGTTGTTGGTCGTTCGCAAATCCACCACGTGAACCTTTGCTATGCATTGCGGATACCGACCTTTCAGGTTGGGGACGTCGAACTGTGCGTCGCCTTCGATCTTGGGGAGGGCGACGCTGGGGTCGGTCTCGGATGGGAAGTTGAGCAGGTGGTCAACAATGTGCCAACCTAGGAATCCACAGCCTCCAACAACTAGGACATTGCCCAACTCGATTGCAGGGCGCTTGTTCGACATTCTAATGTTTTATGAAAAGAAAAAGGTACAGTTTGACAGAAGTTGGGGGAAGTTGATGACGGGGCAACTTAGGCGGAGATGAATTTACGGAGTCGGCCTGGGCATTGCCAAATCGGGGAAAGTAGAAAAGCTCTGACCCCTTTCAATTCTACGACAGACACAATTATTTATGCTCAACGATGAATTGCTTCATAAAACACTGTCTGGTATTGCTAGCAGTATTATTCTTGGAACCCGAAAAGATACGCTTTACAACATGGGTTGGGAACCATTCAGTTCCTGTTCTTGCCCGTATAGATATGTATCTGGAAACTATGGCTGACATCCGATAACAGACTGTAAAATACTTATTCATAGGCACATCTATAATAGTAGAGACATTAGTGTTCAGGTATCGTACGGATCGCAATCGAGCAACTCACTCTGCACTTCTCTCGACTGACCGGCGGAGCTGGCGATTATATTGTTTTCGATCGTCTGGAGAGCCCCAGAATAACCTGCTTGCTTCCGGGTGCACGTTGGTTCGCGGGTCATAAGGAGACTCTTCCTCCAGGGCTGCCACGATCGCGTCGACATGGCATCGCATATCGTCAGTGCGTGCAGGAAAGTAGCATAGTATTCCACACTTCGCCACGCGATAATGGAACAGCGGCGACTCGACGAACACTCGCGGTTGATCTTCCGGGAAACTTGGGCTCAGGTGGATCTTGATATTGAAGATACCACCGTCCAAGTGAGTCATGGGCCGACCAAAGTATGTCAGCTGCCAAAGAAAGGGATTGTCGTCAACCATATTGAAATCCACGATAAAGTTCTTGTGCTTTTTGTATTTTTCAACGATCTGTTCATGCTGGCGCTTCAAGTTCGCAGCGATGCCGGCTTCTTGTTCCTGGGCGGCTTTCCCTTGTACAGCCCAATCATTGGTCTCAACGTTGATGGCATCTTTGACCTGGTTGAGCCGACTTCGCAGTTTAGGGTAGTCAAAGTGTCCATCCATTGAATTTCCGGGATGTTCAAATGGCATCCTCGTGAATCTGCGTTTGCGCGTTACTTCGGATTCTCCTTGGGCGATGGACTGCATGTAACAATCATAATACCACAGGAACCTCCTTTTACGCAGGTCTGCAAAGGCATCGGTGATACAGGTTCCTTCGTCGACGTCCTGATTCTCTTCTTGATCAGTAGGGTTGATCGTACTGTTCGCTTTAATACCAAGAAGGCACTCGAGAGGCTCGATAACGGATATCCGGATACTTTCGTGGCGGATCTACATGGTAAAATGCGAAGAGGTCAGCGCAAACCCAGTGTATAGTAGTGTGAAAGGGTATTTTCACCTTAGCCGCATAGGCCATCATGTCCTCTTTGTCCTGACGCGAAGCAGTCGATTCGTATCCAGGCTCGTTTTCATAAGGATTGGAGGACATCAAGCTCTGGATGGAGATGAGAACGGACTCCAATCCTTGCGCAGATGACCATTCCTCCCCACGATTACCGCGCCAGGTTCTGTATCATTTTATCAGTTGTGGTTCCACCGGAGCTTCAACGGTCGAGCTCACCCAAGAATCGATCTGTCCAACAAGGTGTATATCAGTATACGTATCAATAGCACCGTCTGCCACAAGACTCACAAGCAAACTTTGCCGCAAGCATAGATGTTGGGGTTGAAGCGACACTGCCCCTGGTTTGTCGTCAGAGCCTGGACAGTGGGAGGGCCTGCTGGATAATCTGCAAGCGTTACAGCATTAGCTGGGACGTCTTTCAAACCGATCTGCCTTGGAAGCTACCTGTGCCGAAAGTAATCGAGAACTATGAGGAAGAGATCTCGTAGTTAGCGCGCGACTTCAGATGCCTTGACGATCAGGACAGCCCACCTCGAAGAAGCCAAATTGGTATGGTGTTTCAGGGGGTCCCAAGATTAGAGCGCGAACCTTGCGCAAATCCTGATCGTCACAAGATATCGCAAGAGCTGCTTAGGTTAACAGAAGCCCAGGCCAGAAGAGTCACTCTCTTGTCCACCGCCGCGATAAGGTATCCTGCACTCACACAAATCAGTACTGCTCTGTAGCTGCTTGATCTCCTGGATTCAGTGTTAACCACGTGCTGTCTGCTTCCCAGCAAGGCGGCTCTTACTCTGGAAATGCGAAGAATCGACTGGTTGGCCATGGTCTGAAGATTGGTAGTGACGGTATCGTGATCAGCTGTAAGATGTCGGTTGCGAGGTGTCGTCCATGGATTTATAGCTCATTGGAGTAAACCGACCTGAATGCTAAAATGGACTGTCAGGGTGTCAGGCAAACAGAAGGAACGAAAGTGTGAAGAGAGAAAAGGGAAGGAGAGCAGCAAGAAGATAAGAGGTTCCTCCGCAAGTGACAGTGAATAACGAACCATAGAACACAGGATCTTTATTTTTGAACCTCTTTCTTTCTTGCAGTAATCTTCCGGTCATCCAGGTCATTCAGGAGCATGTCATGATGTTTGCCCGGGAATTCCATGGATACGTCCAACCTACGCGCGGGACAGTGTTTGGTTTGACGCACAAGTTTACTTTTGTCAGGGTAGGTATAATAAAGTTATGAGTAGGACAAGATCAGGGGCATACATCACCGCAATTTGTATTCTATAATAGTAGTAGTACTCCGTAGTGAGTATCTGAAATCCCCTTCTGAAGGGCAGATTAATTAATCTCCAGGGCTGCGCAACGGTCGTCCAGTTCCATGTTTCGACGCCCGCTGGTACTGCCAGCAAAACCCCGTTGAAACATAATCCCATTGTACCAGTGGTACGCTGCGGTATTGTTTGTTGCTATTTTTCTTGATTCGTGTCCTGCATATTCTCGAAAGTATATAATACATAATAGTAAGAGAGAGAGAGATCTTGAAGTCAATTATTAACCCTCTAAAGAAAGCATAACTTACTCCTTGTAGCAAACTAACCCAACTGGCAGGCGGTCAACCCTGCGGTGAACCCACCACGTGACTGACGTGCGGGCAGATACAAGAGGATAATTAAAACGATTAATCTAAGGAGACCAAGAGGGAATTAGGAGGGCCACAGATGAATTAACTGCTATTAATATATCTCTGTAGTAGTAGTTTCTATATTGACGCATTGTGTTTATATACGGAGTAGTTAGGAGAGACACCTGTTGCCCATTGTAGTAGGACTCACTCGTAGTTGTGTACAGAGTAGATACTCTCTTCCTGCCCCCTCCACACTCCCTCTCTCTTTCCATCCTCATCATCTTCTCACCCTCATCGTTGCATTGCATTGCGTTCCATTCTCATCACTCCTGGAACTCCCGTCATACCTTCACATACACATCCTATTCCCTTTTTCGTCTTTTTCGTCTTTTTTTTTTTTTTTTTTTTTTTTTTTTTTTTTTTTTTCCCTCCGTTTTAATTAAACCCGATCTTCTTCGTCCCTGTCCCTGGTCCCTTTTTGACTTGTATACCCACACCACCCAATTCCCAACCCCCTCTTGCTCTACTACTTCATAGAGTACTACTCGGGATACAATTCGAGGATCAGGAATGATTGTGTCTTTCTTGAACTGCGTGCTCCGCCGCTTGTTGGTCTCGCTCTGAGCTCCAACGCTTCTCTTCTTCTTCTTCCTCCAAAGGAAACGACACTACTGTTTTGAATTGCTGTTTCTCAACGTGCACAATCGCATTACGACGCGAACTACTACTACTACTACTACTACTCCTCTTTAACACAGGATTGCCGTGGACGGTGAGTGCTATCTCTAAATCCCATTGTTGTTGTTTGCGCTGTCATTCCCGCTTCCCAAAGTTGACCTCCCTCTTCCACCGCCCCGCGAATTGATCGTGGACCTGCCGTGCGAATCAATGGCGCCCGACAATCCTCCCGACTCACTCCTGAGGAAAATCTCGATGAATTGATTCTGACCTTCATACTATATTAATAGGACTCGTTTGTCGTCCCTCCACTCGCAACACTGTTGATACCTCTCACTTCGCTCTTTCCTCAACCCCCCCTCTCTCTCTTAACCCCCTAAACAAAGCGGTCCCAGCTCTTCTTGGCAGCGATCACCACGACCACGACCTTCTCTCGAATTTTCGGACAACAAAACCTCCCCGATCCGCCCATTGCTTTTTTTCCGTTTTTGTTCTGGATATTCTTTTCTCCCTGTTCGGGTCGTGGCATTGATTTGGCTTGGGTTGGGCTTGATCCCATAAGGTTTCTTTTACGGATATGCCTCCCGGCGACGTTCCTCTACCGGACAGCCTCGTGCCGGGCAACGGGGCTGTCCGTCCTTCTTTGAATACCAGCGGCTATGGTGGCAGTTACCAATCGCAAACCCCAACTTCTCCGGCCGATAGCAGTATCCCCTTCGACTCCCCACGCAGACAAGGAGGAAGAAATGGTTCAGTCGCGGCTGGTTATGACACACAGAATCCGGATGGTCGCATGGGCCGCAGGCTAGACACGAATCTTTCCCCCATTGCAAGAGATCCATCGACTCCACGCGATTCTCCCACGGCATACTGGGACAGACCGACTCCGCGCGACCGATCCCGTCCAGGCCCTCGATCGCACACCAAGTCTCCTGGGAGTTCCCCACGCGTGTGTAAGAAGTGCGGTGAACCCCTCGTCGGTCAATTCGTGCGAGCTTTGGGTGCAACATTTCACCTGGAGTGTTTTAGGTGTGAGGTAAGTCGCGAAGAAGAAGAGAAGAAGACCATGTGATCGGTTCTGGCGCTGACTTGGCTGTGGATGTAGGATTGTGGTCAAATTGTCGCGTCCAAGTTCTTTCCCGTCGACGGGGAGGACGGCAGTGGGCAGTACCCCCTTTGCGAGATCGACTATTTCCGACGTTTGAATTTGCTCTGTCACGAGTGCGGCGGTGCCCTGCGTGGCTCTTATATTACGGCCTTGGATCGTAAATACCATATTGAACATTTCACCTGCTCTGTGTGTCCGACGGTGTTTGGTGCACAAGACTCCTACTACGAGCATGAGGGCAAGGTCTATTGCCATTTCCACTACTCCACCCAATTCGCCCAACGCTGTCATGGCTGTCACACTGCGATCCTAAAACAGTTTGTCGAAATCTTCCGCAATGGCCAGAACCAGCACTGGCATCCTGAGTGCTATATGATCCACAAGTTTTGGAATGTCCGCCTCGCCCCCACAGGTCAGCCTCTGGAGCCGCCGGAGAAGGACCTCGATGCCACCGATGAGGATCGAAACAGGGTCCGTGAGGAGGAAGACATCATGGAGGAGAAGGTCTACAAGATCTGGAGCATCCTTTCGAGTTTTGAAGAGTCTTCCGCGGCATGCATCTCGGACATGCTCCTGAATGTGAGCAACGGTGCATACACAGAAGGTGTTCTCATCGCCAAGCGATTTATCACCCATGTCCAAGTTCTTTTTGCCGCCATTGACCAATTGGCTGGGTACATAAAGTCCCAGGGCATAAAAGGTGAGTTCTATTTTCTCATCAATTCTAATCATGATTTTTGTTCTTTTGCTAAAACGCCAGTAGATCTTGCCTACGGACGCGAATCAAAACTTTTGTGCAAGAAGATCGTTGCTTTCTTTGCGCTCCTATCCAAGACGCAAGAAACCGGAGTACAGAAGCTGGGCGTTACTCAGGAGCTCTTATCGCTGGTCACCGGCCTTGCTCATTACCTCAAACTCCTTATCCGGATCGGTCTCCAAGGAGCCTTGAAGCTCGAAAGGGAAAAGAGGGCCGCCGATGGATTGCACCGCTTCTTGGACCATCTTGGAGACCTCGAAGCCCTCCGCCCCGCTACCGAGGAAGAATCCGCAGCAGAGTTGATGATCAGTGTTGATGGCCTTGCCAATCAACTTTCCGACTGTTGCGTCGCGTGCAGGGAACCGATCGACGACGAATGTGTCATGTCAGCCGACCAAAGGTGGCACGTCAAGCCGCCTCACCTCAGCTGCACAGCTTGCCAGCGGGATCTCCTTTCCAACCTGCCGGATGCGGTGTACAATTCGAAGGATAAGCGGGCTTATTGCAAGAACTGCGCAACGCAGAGAAGCATACCCTCCGAGGCTGGCCAGTTTGTTCGCGTCTCGAAATTGCAGCAATTTGTCTTCTTGCTCAGAGTCGCTCTTGCACGACTTCTTGCTGTATTGCGGGCAGGAGGAACTGTGCCCCCAGCCCCAGGTATGTCAATGATGCCACCAAACCCTACACGAATTGCCCCACTGACTGATAATATTTCTAGGCGACGCCAATGCGCAGGATCAAGGCCCGTTGGGTGACGTTCCTCGGTCCAATCCCCGCAAGACATACGCCAATGCTGCCAAAGAGGGCACGGAAGGGTCTTCGCTCGAGCAAACCGTGGGTGAAATGCGGCGCCTGCGGTCGATTCGCAATGAACGTACCTTGTCAACCACGTACAAGAAGGCTCGGGCGTCCCGGATTATCGACGGCCCCCAAGGGAGAAGCGCACGGCCAGGCTCTTCCGGTGGCGATGGCACCGACCCACGCGGCCATGGTTTCCAGATTGTAGAGGAAAAGGATGCCAACGGCGAAACAGTCACCGAGCTAACGTTCGGCAATCAGGATGCTTTGACGTTGGACGACATCCCGAGAATTGTTGCGGCCGAACACGCCAAGGAGCAACGTCCGAACGCTTATAGGCACGCTGGCACCAAACTTGTCGGGACCGGCGAACCGCTTCCCAGATACAAGCCAGGTCATCACCGCGCAGTATCTGGGGCAAACACTCTGGAACCGCATCTCATGGGTAGCACTGGCAGAACAAAGAAGTACTTCTCTGAACTCTCCGCTTTGGAATATTTCATCGTCCGACATGTGGCCGTGCTGTCCATGGAGCCGTTGTTGGACGGATACTTTACCTTGGAGGAACTGCTCTCGCTGATCGAGTCTCGCAAACCAAGCATCTGGAATGTCTTTGGCCGTGCCTTCAACAAGGATCCCAAGAAGGGTGGTAAGAAGAAGGGTGTGTTCGGTGTGGCCCTGGATGTTCTTGTCGACAAGGAAGGCACGGAGTCGAGTCATGGCGTTGGGCCCGGTGCCCTTCGTATCCCAACATTAATCGACGATGCTGTGTCGGCCATGCGGCAGATGGACATGTCTGTTGAAGGAGTGTTCCGAAAGAACGGCAATATCAGGCGTCTCAAGGAGCTCACTGATCTCATCGACAATCGATATGAGCAAGTCGACTTGACCAAGGACAGCCCCGTTCAGATAGCCGCACTTCTGAAGAAATTCCTTCGAGAGATGCCTGATCCGCTTTTGACCTTTAAGCTCCATCGCCTTTTCGTTGTGTCTCAAAGTAAGTCGCACCCCATCGTTTGATTTGATACAATCCGGAGACTAACCACATGGAAAACAGAAATCGCGGACCCAGAGAAGCAGAAACGGGTGTTGCATCTTACCTGCTGTCTCTTACCCAAGGCTCATCGGGACACCATGGAAGTTCTCTTTGCTTTCCTCAACTGGACATCATCGTTTTCCCATGTGGACGAAGAGTCCGGAAGCAAGATGGACATTCATAATCTGGCAACCGTCATGACCCCTAATATCCTGTACCCCAATGCTAAAAACAGTACGGTGGATGAGAGTTTCCTTTCGATTGAAGCTGTGAACGCACTTATTGCATACAACGACAACATGTCCGAGGTAAGTTTCCCGTTGCTACCGTCTGGTCGCCGCAATCGCTTACCTGGATTTCTTTTGTAGATCCCCGAAGACCTGCAGGGGGTTCTCAACGATACAAGCTTCTTTAAAGAAGAAGTTACCACGAAGGAAATTCTTAAGCGATACGGAGATATTGCCCGCGGAAGCTTCTCACAGAAGACCAACAATGGTGGCGAGACTTTTACGATCACCAATTCCAGTCGCAATGCAAATGCCCCGACATCCGCGCGTATCGAAACAGATCCATCACAGGATGTCGCATGGCAGATGCAGAGCTCAGTTCGGCACGTTCAAAGTCCAGTGGCGGGTCAATCCCACAATGCTAGCGCTGCGCCCCCGGAATTTATAGCCCCGCAACCCAAACGAGAGCGCAGTGTCAGCAACGGTAGCCATTCGAATTCCATTCAGTCCGAAGGAGGAGCTCAGCAGATGCCGTACAGATCGCGCCAGGGAACAGGGCCCATGGGTGTTGCCGGTTAATCGGTAGCTCCAGACCTTTTGTCTTTTTTTGTTTTTGAGCGATATATGCATTACCCTAATTTCTTGCACAGTTAAGTTTCTTTCCTTTCTCGTCGATGGACTTTTCTTTTTTGCATTCGTTTTGAAGCTCGGTTTTAATACAACCGGCGTAAAGTTGGGCTTGTCAAGCGTTTTCATCATTTCTGTTTCTCCACCGTCAGGAATGGGTGGATGGAGTTGACTTTTCTTGCTTCGCATTGACATGAGTTTCGAGTGTTCCCTTACAATGACTGGCATAGCCGGTCATTTACCATGACGGATGGACGACATCTTGCTTACTCTTTTTTATCATCTCCCTTTTTTTTTTTTTTTTTTTTTTTTTTTTTTTTTTTGCTTTTCTTCGGCCTTGACCCACTGTTTATAAAAGTGTACGGAGTAGTTATATTTTGATCACGATGCGACGGTGTTGCTTGGCCCTTGGGATCCTGTTTCCATCTATTTTGTCCGGCCAACTGATTGGTTATGCATGTCTGAAACTTGGATGCTATATCTTTTCCCTTTGCCTATTACCTTTGCCTATTATCTTTCCTCTTCTCGGCGTCCAGCTCATTGAGTTGGCTACGCATGGCTGCAAATCGCAAAGATTCTGATGTTGTTTCTTCTTTCTGATCTTTCTGTTTGAATTGTCTTTATTCTTTCCTCTTTTCTTTATCATTCTCGTACAGCTCTTTTTCGTGCTGATATCCCAAAGTTGCCTGTTTACCTTTTTTTGTTACCCTATTGCATTCCCATATACATTGATTGAGTCCCCCGTGGTCTCGCTTTTTTCTTAATTGGCACGTTGGTGTAGTGCCTGCGGATAAAATGGTGGTGTAATTTACATAGATACTACTACTGTTGTGAATGTTGACGTATAATTTGCTGCTGCTGAGACTCCATCCTTAAACTACATAGTGAGACTAGGACACAAGGTCTCCGACAGGTTACGGGGTACTAGTAGAGGGTTGGGTTTTGATCGAAGCTCCAACATCCGACTACCAATGGAACGTTCTGAAGATACCAAAGAACAATCGAATTGATGAACCGCAAAAAAAAAAAAAAAAAAAAAAAAAAACAAAAAA